TGTCGTCGGTGGCCTAGTGGTTAGGCTACCAGACTTGTAATCATGAAGTTGCGTATTCGGGGGTTCGAGCTTCAGTTGGTCTTACGTTGTGTCCTTGGGAAGGTCACTTTTACCCGGTATTCCCATTTTGCTAGGTCCTTTCGGAGATGTACGTTAAACGCGGAGGTCCAGCCACTTAAATAACCTAATAGTGTTGACAGGGGCTTAAAACATATACCATTCCACCTTTTCTGTTTTTATTTTTGCCCCTTGAGATTGGTGCATCGACCCACCAGAAAGACCAAAATAAGGAGACTCGAATGTGTAACGTGCCAAGTGCATTTCAAAGGATTGGAATCACATACATTGCTTAAAATACGAGTTTAATGAAGTTGACAAACTTCACGGGTGTTTATCTTCCCTAGTATTCAACATTCACATTCATCTCTCTCTAGAATTGTACCTCGCACTCTTTTAACCCTCGATACCCTGTAATGCCACACCCACTCCTCCTTCCCTCCTTTCCTCTTTTCTCCCCACCCCCTCGCCAGTCCCTCTTCCGGAGGGTATAAATAAACTTCTTCTCAGCTTAAGTGGATTAAAGTAGAAAGAACCCTGCTCCCATTAAACTTGCTGCTAGTTTTATCGATGTGAACTCAGCCCAGTCCGTTGCTCATCTGCCTTGCTCCCGTGGAAAGAAATAGAATTGCATTTTCTGCACTTTCTACTGCATAATAGATGTGCTTCCGTCGGGAATTGTGACCCGGAAAGGAAATATTTTGTCGTAATAAGTATTTTCTCCGCAAATCAGGTTGTTTTTTGTTGGGACATCGACATTCTAATCATTTTTTCAACGACGCTGCTGCAGCTGATGTTGCCTTGTTGGCGAGGTTGTTGACGAACGTTGGTGGTGTTGGTGATGGTGGTGATGGTGGTGGGAGAAATGATGATGGATGATAGTGATGATGATGTTGATGATGATGATGATGATGATGATGGTGATGATGACGTTGATGATGATAGATTAACTGAAGATGATGATAATAATGAGGATTTTGATTATTCCATATAGTGATACAACTCACTTACTTAAGCATAAAAATCCACTATTGCCCAGGCACAAACACTCATAGACTCTCAAACAACAAACAAACATACACACGCACACACACACACACACACACACACGCACACACACACACACACACACACACACACACACACACACACACATACACACCACACACAAAATAATTACTTTCACACATTTTTTCTTCCTCTTCTACTCCACCTCACCTCCCTCCTTTCATCGCAATGATGATGATGATGATGACAATAATGATAAATATTATTATGATGATGGCAATGATGATACCTTTCATCTCCGCCCTAAATAAAATAGAAGTCACCAGAAAACACACCCAGTGTGCAATTAACAACGGATTAAGAGAACTAATAGTATAAATAAAAGCAACCACCACATCAAACATACGAGGTCATTAGTATGAAGATTCATTGCTGCTGTTACTGCTGTGGTGTTTGTGATGATGATGATGATGATGATGATGATGATGATGATGATGATGATGATGATG